AGGACTGGGGCGTCGGCCGCGCGCTCACAGCGCCAGGACGTGGATGTCAGCCGCACCCTCGCCGCGCCGGGACCTGCATGTGGGCCGTGAGCTCACAGCGCCAGGAGCCGCTGGGCCGGGAGGGCTCCCGGGAAGGATTCTGGTGGTGCACGTGGGCGTGGGTGCACCGTGGTGCCTCACCGACCAAGCTGGCCACAGCTCGGACCTGCGGATGTGTCCATCAGGGGTCTGTGAAGCTCGGCCGTGGTTTTGCTCCGGGTGATGGGGGAAGGCTGGCTTGGTCCCCACACATTGACCGGAAAGTGTCACATCACTGAAGAAGTTCAGTAACGGAAGCCCCGTGAGCTCCTGACCCCTAGAAGGATTGGCGCCGTGGACGGCCATCTGCAGAGTGGGGAGGCTGCCGCCTGTGCCTCTGAAGCGTCCTCTCCAGCTCTTGAAATCTTAATGCCCCCTCCCCGCTCCATGGAAAGTCCCCTCGCAGTCCACACCACCTGGGCACCAGGACAAGTGGGGCCCAGAGCACCCGCTGGGCAAGTGAGGGGTCTGCGCAGGGAGACGCAGCTCTGGCACTTCACGTCGCGCCGCGGAATGCAAAGCAGTGGGCAGTTTCCAGTTTGGCTTTGTGACTCGACGGGTCTGCGGACCAGTCATCCCCGAGGCCGCCCAGACTGAAGGCTCCGCGGGACAGTTTGGATGCGGTCCCTCCAAACCTCATGTGGGAAGGCGGGTTCCAGGGTTGGAGGGGGGAGGGTCTGGGGGTGACCGGGCCATGGGGCGATCCCTGGTGAGTGGCTTGGAGCCCTCCTGGGGCGACGAGGGGTTCTCGCTCCGTCAGTCCACGCGAGCGCTGGTTGTGTGGAAGAGCCTGGCCCTCCTCTCCCGCTGGGCCTCTCCCGCCATGTGGGCCCCTTCCCCACCGGATACTCCCCGAGACCTCCCCAGATGCAGGCGCGCGCCATGCTGCTTGTATGACTGCAGACATGGGAGCCAAGAAATCGCTTTGCTCTATAAATCACCCAGCCTCGGGTGTCCCTTTACAGCAACTCAGAATGGACACTACACCCTGCCTCGCCTCCAACCCCCCCTCCGGGCTCAGGCCTCCTCCCCAAGGCACACAAGGCTCAGTCAGGGTGCGACCCTGCAGGATGCCACTTCCCCACAACTTTAGGTTTACAAAACGAGGCTCTCGCGGAGGAGGGCCACGGAGACGGGCAGGTGGGCGTCACCAGCCAGTGAAGGGCAGCGTGCGTCCCTGAGCCGCCCGCCTCTCCCTGCCCTGTCCCCTGGGGTCTGGCAGGCGCTCCTTGCGGGGGTCCCTACGGGCACTTGCTGAACAGTGGGCAGCCCCTGCGGCTTTCCTGTGGGGAGAGGCTGTGTGGAGGACCGGGAACAAAGGCAGGAGAAACGGAAGGGAAGAGGTGAGGCTCCCAGCCTGCCAGGGGCTCCGGTTCTTTCCCAGAAATGCCCTCCCTCAACCCTGAGGCTCTGGGGGCCAGAGCAGGGGAAGACCCCGTGACTGGCTCCGCACACCCGCGTGCTGGAGGGCAGGCGCCCGTCGGAGGACTCGGCGGCGGCGTCACAGGCATGGAGTCCTCGAGAGAGGAAGTCTCTGGAAAACCTGTCTCTGTTGACCTGCAGGAAGTCAGTCCTGAAACAAGACTCCTCAGGCCTCATTTCAGCCCTCTTGTCCTGGGCCACACACCTCAGTTGATCCACAAAGAACGGAGGGGGAAAAGAAAAAAACTGGGGAAAAATCACAGTGTGGATCAAAAAGTAGAAATCAGACCTTTCCGGGAAGACGGAGGGCCCTGACCCTCGGGAGCTGGGCCACGGGTCCCCAAAAGGGCACCGGTTCACGTGGACGCGGGAGTCAGATGGAGAGCAAGCAAGGGCTCTCCACTCCCGTCCAGCGCGAGAGGCGTGGGTGGAACCGCCTTCAGTCTCTTCAGGCCTCACATTGGAAAATGTCTGCGTGACCACTTGTGCTGGAAAGGGCGGACTCCTCCCCGTCGGAAGGCACAGAGCAGGCTTGCCAGGTGGGCCGGACGGTTTCATGGCGGCCTCCTAGAGCGGAGTGTTTTAAGCATCTGCGACCTTTCCTCATTTGTCATACTTAGCAGCATGGCCCCAAGGCATGCTCAGGGCAGAAGTGTGCAGCTGCCGCCCCTCGGGGCCTCCGAGGGCCTTAGAAAGAGACCCCCACAGACGAGCACTGCCTGCAACAGGAGGTGCCCGGGAAAGGCCAAACCGCTGTGGTCCAGATGGAGCTGCTCCCCTCCCGGCACTCAGAATGCACTGGCTCTGGTGTGTACCCATCCCAAAGCATCTGAGCTTCACCCACGCCGCAGACTGAGCCCAGCACCCAGGGTGTGAACGAGGACAGGCAGAGAGGCCTCTGTCCACTCGGCCCCTCGAGCTTCTGGGAGAAGAATGTCATGCGTCCCTTGTCCATTCCGTATTGGCTGAGCATCCCCCTTCCTCAGCACCCAGCACGAGGTCCCAGGAACGTGGGGAGCGTGACGGGCAACGCCACGGGCGGTGGGATGCAGGTGATGGGGAGGAGGCCGCAGCCTGAGGTGTTTTCCGGAAGTGGCCATGGTGCCGGGATACCAGAAAGCTGCGGTGGGGCCTGGCCTGACTCACCTGGCACCTGTCACCAGGCGAGGCCACGCCGCACACACACGTCCCCTGCTTGGGCAGATCCGTCATCGACTCTCCCCGAGTGGCTCCCGCTTTCTCAACAGAGCGCTGGCTCTGAAGGGCCTTGTGTGGGACAGGCCTTTTCCAGAAGTCTTCACTGTAAAACTGGCTGTTGTGACTCCTTTGAGAGGTGTTGGAGATTGGTTAATTAATGTTTACAAGAGACAGAAGGATCTGAGGAGAAAAGGCTCTGAGGAAGGACAGGCAATGATGAGCCTATTGTTATTGGCAGTGGTCCAGGAGGAGGAAGGCTGGAGTCCAAGACCCCTGCCGTGGCCCCCAGTGAGCTGCTGTCTGCCATGGCCATCGGCAGGCCTCCCCGGGACATGGCTGACAAAAGAGAGATCAGAACACAGCCACGGACAAATCCACGGGCAGTGGAAAGGGCAGTCTTGTCTCTTGAACTGTAGCAGGGAACGTGTTGGCACCCGCTTTCTTCATTTAACTGACCTCTCCCAGCACGGTCAATGACTCCCTGCCATGCCGGGGACCGTTTGTGGAAAGTGAGCGGGGCCCAGGCGAGAGCCAGGCTGCAGAGGGCAGTGCCTAAGCCGGGACCTTGAGGAGAGGGCGTCCACGAGGGTGGTACCTATGGTGGGGGCCGCAGTGGGTCTGGCCCCATGGGAGGCCCCAAGGGTAGGACCCAAGCCAGCCATGTGGCCATGGGGTGGGTGTCATGGTATCAGGAAGCTGGAAGACGTGATGAACCGTCACTGGGGATGCTGCTGATTTCTTCCTGAAGTACATGCAACCCCCACGTGCATGTCAGGTGCCTGCTGAGGAGGAAGCGTGTATGGCCTGGTGGTGCTGCTGGCTGTCATTAAGGCCACAGCGCTGAGCGCTGTCAGCCGTCGATCTGTCTCCTGCTGGCATGCTGGTGGCTGCCTCATTCAGGGGCATTCAGCAGCCATCCGGGTGGTCTGGGGGTTCCAAGTGTCCCAGGGACGCAGAGACAACTGTTGCCCACGATCCCACCAGGCTGCAGGCTCTGGGAAGGGCGCTTCCGTAGGGCATGCCTCCAAGGGGTCTGGCCCCTGGTTGGCATGACCCCTAGGGAACTAAATGCCCCCGCGTGGTAGGTTTGAGGCTGCTGCTGGTGGAGGTGCCAGTGAAGATGGTGGCGATACACACTAAACAAATCCACTGGTAAATGGAACTAGAGGGCTACCCCCTTGGGTCCCCTCCCACTGTGAGAGTCCCCTCAATAAATGCTGCTTTCAAAAAAGAAGGAACTAGAAAGGGGAGTAGAGTGAAAGAAAGGCCAGTACTGGGGAAAGAATGTTCTTTCTTGAGTGGGAGTCTCACTCTTGTCACCCAGGCTGGAGTGCAGTGGCCCGCTCACGGCTGCCGCAGCCTCGGCCTACTGGGTAGGCGGTCCTTCCGCCTCGGCCTTCCAAGTAGCTGGATCTACTTGGCTAGTTTTTGTGATTTATCGTAGAGACGAGGTCTCGCCAAGTTGCCCAGGCTGGTCTTGAACCTGCGGGTTCAGACCATCCTCTCACCTCGGCCTCCGAAAGTGCTGGGATGACAGGCTGAGACACCACGCCCGGCCAAAAATGTTCTATTTCAAGAAATGCTGACACCCCAAGGAAGGAACCTCAGTGGCCCGAGTGGGCCGCTGGCCTCTTGGGGCTTCCGGCTCCTTGGTGTCTGTCTCGGGCCCTGCTCGGAGCACGCAGGGTCCCGGGCTTGCGGAGTGGCGCGCCGCTGTCTGGGCCGGCGGCCGTGCGTGGCACTGTCGGCTCACCCGTCTCCACTTTCCCGTCTCGCCCCTGCAGCTACTACATGCTGGAGAACCGGCCCCGGAATATCTACGGCATGGTCTGCTACTCCTGCCTCCTGGCCGCGCCCAACACCAAGGAATGTGAGTGCCCTTGGTCAGCACGGCTGCCTCTCACTGCGGGGCCTTCTGAGTCCCGGGCAAGGTTAAGCACAGTGAAGGCATCCACAGAGCTCTCGCGGCTGTCTAGCCGGGCCTCAGGTCTGCGGGAGGGAGGGGTGCTGACCCCGAGCTTGGAGCCGCGGGCTGAGGTTCTCGTGCAGGCCCGCCACCAGCTACCTCAGCCGTCGCTTAACCTCCACGAGCCTCGGTTTGCTCGTCTGTAATACGGGAGTTCTAAGATCTGACCTGTCTCCCTCGTGCGATTACCGGGAAAACAAACGAGAACGCAGATGAGAAGATCTTTTGCAAAGTGCTAGACAGTTGTGAGGCAGAGGGAGACAGTGAAAGGATCACCACGCACGTGACTGATTCCACAAAGCACGTGGACAATCTCACGTGTTTACAGTCCCGCGTCGGGCGGTCTTTCCTGTCCTCCCATCCAACTTCCACGCGCGTCTGTTTGGGACAGCGGGCAGCAGTGGCACCCACAGGGGGCAGGGCGTGTTGTGCGACTTCTTGGACATGTGGATGGATGATGGAGGGACCGGCAGCTGGGAAGAAGCTGGGGGCCTGGTCCCCAGGCCTCGGGGGCAACCCCCTCAGCTCCATGTCCGTCAGGGGGAGGAGGAGCTAACCCGGGGGCCCACTGCTCCTTGCTGGCCTTAGCCCCCACCCAGCTCCTTGTCTCACAATCAAATTGTCTTGTCTGGGAGAGCAGAGTGAGGGCTGCAGCCTCACAAAACAGTTGAAAAGCAGCTGAAGTGCAGAGGAGGGTTCTGGCGGTAGGGAGGGCTGTTCCCTCCCGTCCGAGATGCAGCAGTGCACGGGCCTGGTGGCAGAGGGCTCGGGTCCTCGGAGCCGCTTTCTGTGGCCACCGTCTGCTGAGTGACCCCCTCGTGGGAGGAGGCCGCAGCTGGGCCCCAGCCTGACCTGTGGCGAGCTTGGCTGCCACGGCGGACGTGTTTTCTGGGGGGACCCGATTCGGGGCCAGATCGTTCTGGCACGAAGCCTCGTCTGGGGAGATGTCAGGCTTCCCGCCTGCTCAGAAGAGGCTCTTGCCTGTGGAGCCTGCAAAGATCGGCCCTCCCCCAGGGACCCTTCCGTTGGGAGCTTCCTCTGCATGCCCAGCAGGAAGAGCCTCAAGGCAGGGCAGGGGGCCCCGTGGTCCAGCAGTGAGCTCTGCCACGTGGAAAGCAAGCAAAGTCTCCTGAGTCCTGGAGGTTTTAAAAATGGAGGTAAGCCTGGCGCGTGGCTCATGCCTGCAATCCCAGCACTTCGGGAGGCCGAGACGAGAGGGTTGTTTGAGACCAAGAATTCAAGCCCAGCCTGAGCAACACAGTGAGACCTCATCATCTCTGCAAAAAAAGTCAGCAAGTCAGCTGGGTGTGGCAGTGCACACCTGTAGTCTCAGCTACTTGGGAGGCTGAGGAGGGAGGACTGCCTGACCCCGGGAGGTCGAGGCTGCGGTGAGCCTCGATTATGCCACGCACTGCAGCCTGAGTGGCAGAATGAGACCCTGACTTAGAAAATATAAACATATTTTTAAATGAGGGCATGCCCTTCCCCGCCTGCAGTCCTTAATAGAGTCCCTTTGGGCAAGGCTTCAGACCTGTTCGCCCATCTGGAAGATGGCGAGATCCAGCTCGGCCTTGTGTGCGACAGGGTGGACATAGCCCTGCCTGGGCTAGGAGCCTGGGTGCATGTGTGAACAGAGAGTGACGTTTTCTGCCCTGGGTCTGAACTTCCTCTGCACGGGTCCCAACCCAAGGATCTTCTCACACAGGACGCCCGCTCAGAATCAGCAGAAACGTCTGAGCCAGACAGCCCTGTGTAGTCGCAGGATGGCTGTCACAGCCCCACCCCGGGACGGGGACTCCAGGGGCCTCCTCTGGTCAGGACATCGCCGGCTGTCTGCCCAGATCTGGCAGGCCGGCCTTCCCAGGCCAGGGTCAGGGTGGAGAGCCCCTTCCCTCCCTCCTGCTTTGATCTGGGCCCTCACCAAGTTTGCGAGTGGCAGGTTATTCAAACCGCAGTTGAGGAGACTTGCCGAGGGCCCCGGGCCGCGGTGACACAGATGCACACGTCATGGAGCCCCAGCGGGCCGTGGTGGCAGCCGCAGGAGAGACGCCGGCCCGCAGCGGTCCGAGGCGGCAGGGGAGAAGGGCCGGATGCCCGCAACTGCCCCCACACCCCCGGGATGGAAGCCCCCGCGTGATCGCTTTCTGCCCGTGGGGAAGTGGCCGTGTCTCTGTGTGGCCCTGTGAAGCCATGTGGCGGCGGTGAGTCTCATCAGAGCTCCCGGGAGGTCTGCTCCCCCACAAGGCACGAGGGCCGCCCCGGCCCCGCAGGTACCCCACGGCAAGCGTGG